GATTCTGATCACGGGATCACGAGACATATCGAATTCGCCATAATACCCTATTCGCCATAATACCCCTACCTCCCTTAGATTTCAAAAATATGAAGAAGAACAATTACTATCTGTCGAAAAAATGAAAAAAGTTTGGAAGAAATATATTGAAGAAACTCTAAATCCGGATTTACAAGGAATTGAATCGTTCAATAAAAATCTTCCTGATAACGAGTCTCTCAGTAAAAATGAAATGCTTAGTTTACTTAATATTCTTTCTCAAAAGGAAAGAGAACATAAGATGGCAGCTATTGGTTCTAAAGAAATGATAGGCGTATTAGGAAATATACTAAAATCATCATTGAATGAAAGATCATTTTCATCGAGTGAACAATTGAAAAAATCTATCCAGCAAAAATTACTTTACGATCAAACACTTAAACAAAATCAAAAAGAATACTTAATTGATTATCTCCAAAAAATTGAGGATGAAGTTAATGTTCATAAGCAAAGCGGCGAAAAACGTCAATGTGAAATATGCAAAAATTTGACACATGCTAAACGGTACTGTGAGCATTGTATTCGTAATTATTTACAGCAGCACTTCAAGGATTGGACTTCTGGAAATGCAATAGTAGATGAAATAATTCAAAATTGTCAATTACAAACACAACATCCACACAGAGTGATTGAATGGATACAACCGAATCGTAAATTTTAATTATCAATAAGAGCAAAAAAAAACAAAAATAATGTATTTAAAACAACTACCTTATAAAACTAATAAAAAAAAAAAATGTTAAAAAAGCAAATTTATCTATAATACCGTATTTTACTAAACCTAGCCTAATATTTTATAAACACCACATAATTTTGATAACCACATTTATTTGAATGCTGCCGAGTGAAAACAAAAAATTCTAAATAGAGTTCTCTACGCAACGGAATGCAGAAATGCCAGTTGTAAGTGCCAGTGTTACGTGATTAACTGAACCAAATAACCGATTATACATTTAGAATTCCTAGTTTTCATTGGTTTGGTTAATCAACAAAACCATTTTTGCAATAACGAATCGATCGAACTCTAACAAATTCGTGTATAATAAAGATATGATTATATTAAAATGTCGTGCTTGAAGTTAGCATCTGCTTGAAGTTGTAACTTCAAACTTCAAGCACGACAATAATATTAGCTTATTAGTAATATCTAAGTTTGTTAGATTAAAAGAGCATCCATAGAATGATTGGCTGTTTAAATTTATTTAATTTACATTATTTATACAGTTTGAGGTGCTTTTTTAAAGCAATAGACTACGAAGAATAAACAAAAATGAATTATATATGAAGGGTTATTATAGTTGTAGGACTCCACTATTAAAAATAATCAAATTCCTTTTCGTTTTAGAGAAGTTAACGTGGTAATAACCTAGTTTTATCTATTTTTACGAAGTCGCTATTATGTTAGCTTGTCTAAAACAAAAGGGATAATCATTAAAAGTGTTAAACATGATGTATTTAATCGTTAAAAATAGCGAATACTTAATTTAAAAATTAACAATTAAGGCAATGTCGCTAATTATGAATAATTTTTTAGTGAAAATAGTTTTATTTAAGGGTCCAAATTTTGAAAAAGATTACAATCAAGGGTCCAAATTTATCGTAACTAATTAGATTGCAAGTTTTTAACATTTAAATTATCTAGATGTAATTTCTTTCAATAGTTAAACCGCATTTATTCTCTTGGCGTCTTGCATGTAAAATTAGAACTATTTTGCCAACTTCTAAAAGTAATTTAACTTTCTCTACGAATACAATAAGTTTTTGATTCTAAATATCTTTGATTAACCTTTACAAATATGATTCATGTTACATAACTACTGTAGTCTTGGTATAGACTTTTAGCTTAGAACCGAATAAATATTAATATATTGATAAATATCTTGCTTAAACTAGTCGAACTGTATCTTGGTTAAAAAAAAAGTTTCATTAAACTAAAGAGAATATATTATAAAATGAATAAGGTAACGCATATACAATTATAGCGTTCAAAGAATTACTATCGTCATAACGTAAAGTTATTTGGCCCTTAATTATATATGTAATAATTTTTCACCTTGACCCTTGTTATTATTTTCCTTTTCGTGCCCTTATATGTAAATTCCCCTAAAATTTATATTTTAATTTCAAATATACATCTAAGATATTATAACAAGGTAGATAGATGTATCTTCATGTATTCAAATATTTAATTAATATTAACTGTTGTTGCTTACTATTACCCGTTACTTACAAAAAATTCTTTATTTCGTTTCTATATTCGAAACCATACCTAATTTAAAATCCAAACTTCTCAACCGTTATTTACTAGCATATACAATACATTATATGTAAATTTTAAATAATATACCCAGCTCAAATCTCAAGTGTATAAGTGCAGTGATCCCGTTACTATCAATATCAACCTAAACTATAGAATAACCCTCGTATATATAAACTTTAATATGATCTCTCATGAATATCACTATCAACATGAATTTAAAATTTTTATTGGCAATCGCAAGTTATATAA